AACTCTCCCAACAGCTCCATTTGTTCATAAAATATATCTACAAAAGACCTATTAGAAGCTGTAAATAAACTGGCTAAAAGGGTATTTCATCCCTTTCACCTCATTCAAGATACAGTTCTTCACATTAGCCCTCTATTTTCTTCTGTTCTCTTCCTTTGATACTCTGAGCTGCTTCTGCTAGCTCTTTTTCATCCTGATGGGACCAGTCGCAGCTACTCTAAATTGACTCTATGCTGACTTCCTCTCACAGGCCCACTCTATGTTTTACCCTGCACTCCTTCCCCTCACTCAAACATCCTGGGCGACCAGTTGGTCTTGTCCTATAACCAAATTGTTTGCTTACAGCTCTCTCACAACTATTTTGCAAGTCTCTTCAGGACTGCAGGATGACAGTCATATAATCCAGCCTAACCTATGGAGTTAAAAGTTCTGCTAAGTGACTAAAGGACTTCCACTTCCAGAGTTCCTTCAGAAATCCAGAACTACTTCCTCTAACAAAGACCCCCCTCAACAGAAAAACAGACTTGGTTTGTCTATTTCCTCTTAGAATTTAAAACGACTGTTTCCTGCTGAAAGAATACACTTCTCTGCCTCCCTTGTGGTGGACAATGCAACTCCAGAAGTAAGGAAATATGAGAAGGAAGGTGATTCATTCATGGTAGTTAGTCACTTCCACCTCTTTAAAGACTGCAGCCATCTTTTTACTGTAGGCAATCTCACATCAGATATGTCATAAGATCATTCTCTCATCTGCCTGCATGGTCTGAGACATTCATTTATCCATTCATCCATTCATCCAGATGGATGAAAATATGCCTGTGTATCTTTCTATGTGTTTGCCAATAAACTTGGTACTGCATAAGTTCAGAGGCATCTTTCTTTCTGGCTCTGTATTTTCTTTAAGCCACTTGTACTTAATGGCTTGCTCCTGATATCTTATAGAACCCAGGACCAGCAGCCCAGGGACGGCACCACTCACAGAAGACCACACCAGAGGGTCTTCTGCTGAGGATGGTCCTCCCAATTAATCATTAAACAAACAAACAAACAAACAAACAAACAAACAAACAAAAAATAGCATTAAATGCTACTAGCCAGACTTAGTTGTGACTACTTTCTCTCGGATGGCTTGTGTCAAATTGCTATAAAAAGAGCCAGTGACTTGATGGCAGGTTGACCTCATTGGGCTACTTCTTCATGGAAATGTCAATACTTTATCCTTACTGGATACTTAGATTCCCTCACGACCTTCTGAGTATCTCCTCTTTGCCTTCCATCTGACCCTAACCTATCAGGTCTCATCAAAACTGGCTGCATTGTCTTCCTCTGTGGCCTGGTAAGGCTGTTTTCCCCTCAGGGGGAGGTGGTCAAAGAGTCAGCCACTGAGTTCATGGCAGAGACAGTCCCTGTTCCCCTTACTAAGGAAACCCACTTGGATACTGGGGCTTTAACTCCTACAATGTCCTTCTCCAATTACCTTTTCTGACCTCTCACAGTGCCAAGTCTTAAGGCTCTCCAAGACCCCTAATACTTAGTTATCCAATACAAAGTGGTCAACAAACAAAAGAGACTCTGCAGACCAATTGCGTGAGTGTGTGTGCGCACGTACCTGTGTGTGTGTGTGTGTGTAAAACAATAATAGTCTGGCAACAAGAGGCTTTCAAGTTGAGAATGAGGTTGTGACATGGGAGAAGTTGGAGGGAGGAAATTTTGAAGGGAGGACCTGAAGGGAGAAAAGGGAATGGAGAAAGTTATGGAATTATATTTTTTAATTAAAATGGTTTTAAAAATTTAAATTAAAGAATGTGATCATTAAATCTGGGCAAGGGGTCTTTTCTATAACTGACTGATACTCCAACCAAGGACCATGCATGGAGATAACATAGACCCCGTGCACAGATGTAGTCCCTGGCAGCTCAGTGTCCAAGCAGGTTCCCTAGTAAGGGGTATAAGGGTTGTCTCTGACATGAACTCGGCAGCAGGCTCTTTGATCACCTCCCCCTGAGAGGGGAGCAGCTTTACCAGGCCAAAGAGAAAGACAAAGCAGCCAGTTCTGATGAGACCTGATAAGCTAGGTTCAGATGAAAGGGGAGGAGGACCTCCACAATCAGTGGACTTGGGGAGGGGCATGGGAGGACATGAGGGAGGGAGGATGGGACTGGAAAGGGTCAAGAAAGGGGGATACAGCTGGGATACAAAGTGAATAAACTGTAATTAATCAAAAAACATAGTTTTTTTTTTTTTTTTAAAAAAGATAATGTGATTGTAGAGGGCTGGACATATAGCCCAGTCAAAAAAGTAGTATAAGGTCCAGAACACTAAACACACACCATCAACAACAGAAACTAACTTAAAAGTGATTTTGAGAGTTATCAGTGAGATGGTACTTGATATGTATTACCGTATAGCTGAAAGAAAAACTTTGATGAAGTGATACGGAAACATGGGTAAAGACTGTCAGAGCACAGCCAATTTCTCCTAATGGGTAAAATATAATGGAAGACTTCAGTTCACTATTACTCAATATTGGACAATGTATAATCCCTGAAGAGAAGGCCGGACCAGGTGAAAACACTGAGTCCCCAGGTAACTAAGGATGTGCAATTACCTGGTATATAGATGCAGTTGCTTCCTCTTCTGTCTGTCTGTATCTAGCATCTCTTCTCACCTACGTTTCTCATATAAAAATACATGTGACTTTTAAACCCACCTGAATGTGAGGAGGGAAGCTCATCTAGTGGGAATTGTGATAATAAGAATGTTTGCTTTTATTTCCTATCATTTCTCAGAAGGTTGGGAATTGTATGTTTTAACTAGTAGTTCAAAGATATCTGGTAACAGAAGAGATTATTTTTATTCTCCTTCACCTTGTAATTAAAGGAACCGAAGCCTCATAGCCCAATACTACACTGCTAGGGTGTGCATTGCAGGAATAAAGACATGACAAAGATTTCTCTCATAAAAGGGTAAGTTTTCTAATAATCACTTTAATTAGTTGTTTATACTAATTGTTGTGCTTTTTATTTATCAACTTTATTGGTATACTACTAATTTTTAAATACTATATACGACAACTAGGACTTTATGTTTTGATTGAAACATCCATTGTGAAATGACTCAACCATGAAGCTAATTCAGATATGCGTCCTATATGTAAGATGCTTTTATGTATTTTGTGTGCATACATTGAGTAAGAAGATATTTTAAGTTAATTCAAGTCCTGATAGGAAATCCCAAAGTGTAAAATATCACATGTTAACCGTAGTCAACACTTTGAACATTCCTAAGCATCTTGAAGGTGGGCAGAGAACATTCAGACCCTGAACAAAGTGCCTGGCGAGTCTTTATCAGTAAATTTCAGTCCATATGCATTTCTCACACTCCTTTTCATTCCTGAGTCTCTTTGTGTCACAGGCAGTACCTTAGTCTTTCTTAAAATCAGTGTCCATGCCTCCACCTCTAGTCTGGGAGCTCATCACCAGGTTTCTATTGTTTACTGGGAAAGAATTGAAGTTGTGAACACATGATAGGTGAGTGCTATAGGAACTTTTCCAAGGGAGATGTGGACACTCAGCTGCTCAGCTAACATAGGGTACCCAAACTGGATCAAAGTAATGGTCTTACCAAAGACTAATTTGAGGAACGGATGAGTTTATTGGACTTACAGCAGCATGAATGGGGTGGAACTAACTGGAGCATGGATGGCCCCAACACAAGTTCATTAGTGAAAAGTCTTACACCAGCATGGTACTTCCCTAAAGCTAGACCAGTGGAGTTCCCTTTAGTTAACCTGTCATACTCTATATAGCCGGCACTTTAAAACACTACATAAAATGAGGCAGAATTACGTACAACTAGAAGTTTAGCACAGAGAAAATAGTCAGACTCTCCTGTGATGGTCTACTGAACCTCTTCTGTGAGGGAAGAGCAAGAGATCACAGATTTTCACACATAAAATCTGTGAAGATTTTATGCAGGTAATCATAGCTTGTCTTAATATTGTTCCTAAGAGGCCAGCACTGCACAACAAGTAGATAAGAGAACTCTATCCTGCCTATCCCACTTCATTCTTCTTCCCTGAATTCTCTAGCAGTTACATTAGAATACTGCAAAGGCAAATGGGAGAGTTAGAATCATCTTTGATGGTGAAATTAGTGATAATATGATACTTTTAATTTTTCAGATTCTAATATGTGGTATAAGATATATATTAACCCCTATGTTCAAATTTTCTGGTTCTGTTGCTCTCCTTGTGGAGTTCCTTTCCAGTGACTCATACTCCAACCATGCACAGAGATAACCTAGAACCCCTGCATAGATGTAGCCCATGGCAGTTCAGTGTCCAAGTGGGTTCCATACTAATGGGAAGAGGGACTGTCTCTGATATAAGCTGATTGGCCTGCTCTTTGATCACCTCCCCCTGAGGGGGCAACAGCCTTACCAGGCCACAGAAGAAGACAATGCAGCCATTCCTGATGTGATATGATAGACTAAGATCAGAAGAAAGGAGAGGAGGACCTCCCCTATCAGTGGACTTGGGGAGGGGCATGCATGCAGAAAGGGTGTGATTAGGAGGGGAGGAGGGAGGGGTTTATTGGGGGAATACAAAGTGAATAAAGTGTAATTAATAAAAGTTAAAAAATAAAGAGATATATATTAACATGTATCATAAAATATTTCTCTTCTGACTATTTCTCTTTCCTTTTTTCTCTCTCTTTCTCTTTGCACACAGGGTCTCTTGTAGCCTATACTGTACTCAAACTTACTGTATAGTCTAGGATAACCTTGAAGGCCTGAGCTTCCTGTGTTTACCTCTCAAGTGATGGATCAACAGGCATGCACCACCATACTTGGCAAATGATTCTTTAATTTCATGCTGAGCATTTTCAAACATTGTCAGAGTATACGCCATATTTTTGGGAGAAGATATTACTGGAAAATCTATTCTGCTCTCGAATTTTGCTATATTCTTTTCTCTTTACAAATTCTCTTAGAGAAGAATGGCTCTGGCAAATGGCTCTATTGTAACTGAATTCATTCTCTTGGGATTAACAGAACAGCCCAGACTCCAAATGCCTCTTTTCTTACTGTTTCTAGTAATATATATGATTACAGTGTTGGGTAATTTGACATTGATAATTTTAATTGCGTTAAATGCTCACCTACACACCCCCATGTATTTTTTCCTGTTTAATTTATCTTTTGTTGATCTCTGTTATTCTTCCGTGATTACACCAAAAATGCTGATGAATTTTGTACTAAAGAAGAATCTTATCTCGTACATGGGATGTATGTCTCAACTCTACTTCTTTTGTTTTTTCATAGTTTCTGAGTGTTACATACTGGTGTCAATGGCCTATGACCGCTATGTGGCTATCTGCAATCCACTCCTGTATAACACTGTCATGTCCCCAAGGGTGTGTGCTTATCTCATGCTTGGTTCATATTTGACGGGATTTTCTGGTGCTGTGATCCACACTGGTTTCATGCTCAGGCTGACCTTCTGTGATAGTAACATCATCAACCACTATTTCTGCGATGTCCTTCCTTTACTGCAGCTCTCCTGTACCAGCACCTATGTCAATGAGACAGAAATTTTCATTGTAGGGGGAAAAGACATCATTCTGCCCAGTGTGATCATCTTTATCTCTTACGGCTTCATCCTCTCTAGCATCCTCAAAATAAGATCCACTACAGGCAGGTCCAAGGCCTTCAGCACCTGCAGTTCTCATGTAATTGCTGTTTCTCTGTTCTTTGCATCATGTGGATTTATGTATCTGAAACCTTCCTCTGCAATACCAATTGATCAAGGCAAAATCTCTTCCATTTTTTATACCATTGTAGTTCCCATGTTAAACCCCTTAATCTATAGCTTGAGAAACAAAGATGTTAAAGTTTCCCTGGGAAAGATACTGAATAGGAGGAAGTTTTAAATATAGTCATAACATAGAAATTTTCTGTGTTTAATACATATTTTAGTCACACCTTTTATGTAACATTTTTAAATATTTCCCACTGTTGTTCACTTTGGCTTTTAGGCTGTTTAAAAACTTGTGCAATTTACTTCCTCATTTATTCTTAAATATAGCATAACTTGCAACTACAAAATTCTGTGTATTTAATATTCTTTTCAGATACGTTTTACTTATTATGTGAAGATAAAAGAATGCCTATTAGAATGTGACAGTTTACATAATCTCACACAACTACTTAAGATAAAAATCAAGAACAACTATCACTCATCAGAATTCAAGCCTCTCATATTATTCACTATACTTTTATCTACTTTTTCTGTAATTTCATTTCAAAAAAGAGTGAGGGATATTTCTATTTTATTATAACTTCTTTCTTTCATAAGTTGATTTTCTCAAAAATGACTGTAACATTTCTACCTTATTATTTTACTGCACTGTTTTTGTTCTATAAATCTATATAAGAGTTGTATCATTTTCTGTTATAGAAAGCCTTTGAAAGTTTTTAGTCTCTTTTTATTAAGATAATGGAGTCATGGAAGAGAAAAGAGAACACAGCATGCAGGCGCAAGAGACAAGTAGCACAGAAATGTGACATCTCAGTGCGGAGAATCACTAATGAAAATTTAAACAACTGTTTGATTTGATTTTGTGTTACTCTGTAATGCTTTGATTACTGTAATTTTCCTTCTCTACTCATCAGATATTGCCCATACTTAATATTCATGATGAAATTGGGTTAGCAAAGTTTCAAGAATGAGAGAAAATATTCTGGACACATTGTGGGTAGTGAAGAAGAAAGGAATCAACTTCAGAACACAGAGTAGTGAATTGTTGTTGAAACTCAAGGAAGAAATAATTCAGAAATAAAAACAATGGTCTAAATGAAACCTTCATTTTTTTTTCATTTGTAGAAGAATTTGAAAAAGTAGACTGAGAAATTTCTCTAGAGATGATATTGGGTTATGTTACTTAATACTTAAGAATGGCTAATTCCAGCACCCAGCATGCTTTGTGTGCACCCAATTCACCCCATCATTCTTGGTTCATGCATTATTCCTACATGACTTTCAAGATAAAGCTTCACTTTATAATTCATAAATAGAAAACTTAATGATATTCCTCTTGAACTGATGTACTTTTTCCTAAGAGAAAGCAGGCAAAGGATGACAAAAGTGGAATTCCCAAACAAGCTCCATGACTCAGTTTAAATATTTATATTTAGAATATCTCTACAATAATATTTTCCAAGGTTTTATATTTCCAGGTTTGGGGGTTGAGAAGCTTTACATAAGTTACATAAGTTATTTTTCATGTCAGTCTCTTGGTTTGGAGTGTTTGACATGGTTCAATTCCTGCCTTTTGATTTCCAGTGTTCACTGATGTCCCTGAAGTGATTCCAATATCAACATGCTTCATTTCTCTCAAATTTTATTCATTTTAAAGAGTGGAGCTTTGGAATAGTTTTATTTCATTTTTTCTTTATGTACAATAGTAACTTTTGGTAAAATTATTTTTATTGTACCTCATAGTAAAGTTATACTCCTCTCTAGTTAAATTCCAGATGACCATAGGTAAAATCTCTTCTAAAATTGGTTGTATTAGCCTAATGTCTAGGTTAAGAATTAATATAGGATTTCTTTATGATTCTGACACAGTTTTTTGTTTGTTTGTTTGTTTGTTTGTTTTGTTTTGCTTTAGCTTTGGAACATTTCACTACTAAGATTAACAATATAAAGGGGGTAGGTTATCAGATGGACTCTGATGTAAAATGTATGCACCTGCAAAGATTTGCAAGGACAGGGTTATTGTTTTTCTCAGTGAGGAATCTGATGTAATCATCTGCAAGAGTTAAACTCTCTCCCAGATAGAATTAAGTTAAACATTGACAAAAGTCAGTATACCTACACACCTACATATTTCCCCAGGAGGAATGATACTCTTTGCTTTTTTTTTCAGTATCTTATCTGCCAATCTTTGTGTTAACTGGGAAAAAATTCAGAAGCCAAAGGGGAGAGAACTTCACTCAGCTTCATAAATGCTGATCCTGATGCTCACAGGCATTCCTAGCTTGCTCCAAATCACAATCTAAGGTGCTGTGATCGACATAATTAACAATCACAAAGTTGTTAAAACAAATAGTATGGTGATTAACACAGAAATCTACAGATGGAGAAGGTGCAAAGTATAAGAGTCCGTGAAATGCCCAGCCCTATTGGCAGAACTGTGTCACACACTTCCATTCTGGATCATTCCGGAAGAATCAGAAAGCTTGTAAGATCCAGAAGTGATAGACGACTACAAGAAAATCCTGTTTTATGGACACAGCAAGACAGTTACATATATTAATTCCAGGTAGTTGTGACAGCATGCCCAAGAACTGTGTAAGGCCAAGCTAGACAAAATCCCAGCATTGAGAGGGAAAGTGGTATGAAGTCCTACTCCTATGCAGTAACAAGCTGTTTGACCTTGATATCCTTAAGGAGGTGGCTCCTGAAAGGTTGGCCACGCTTCAGTGGAAAGCCACACACTTAACGTATGGGAAGTACAAACTGGATGTGAAAGGTTAGAAAAAAGAAGAAGAAGAAAAGAAAAAAGTAAAAATTGAATGTGTAAGAAAGGTAGAATGGAGCTGGGAGGACTTCGGGGAAAAGTGAACATAATCAAAACATGTGAAATTCTCAAGCAATTTAAAAAAATAAGTGAAATTATTACAATTTAAAGAATAAAAGTGCTGATGTGCACAATAAGAACAAACACTAACCTAAAAAAGACATTCAGCTCCACAAGGAGAACAACAGAGCCAAAAAACTTGAGCCTAGAGGGGCCTGCAGAGGCTGACACTCCAACCAAGGACCATGCATGGAGAGATCCTGGACCCCTATTCAAAGGAAGCCCATAGGCTTCTCAGGCTACAACAAGGTTCCCTAGTAAGGGGAACAGGGGCTGTCTCTGACATGAAATCAGTGGCTGGCTCTTTGATCACCTCCGCCTGGGTGGTGTATCCTTGCCAAGCCACAGAGGAATATGATGCAGCCAGCCTAGATGAGACCTGATAAACCAGGGTCAGATATAAGGTGATGAGGTCCCCCCCATCAAGGGCCTAGGGAAGGGGAATGGGGTGGAGAAGAGAGAGGATGGGTGGGACTGAGAGGAAACAAGGGAAGGAGCTGTACAGGGGATACAAAAAGGATATATTTTAATAAATAAATAAATAAATAAATAGAGAAATAAAGAAATAATTTAAAAGAAGATGTTCAGAAAGTGTGTAGAGTAGTTCATATTTTATAGCTTTATTGATCAATTTAGATGTGTGAAATATCCATAATTTACACTGGCAGGCACAGTAAGTGGAAAAATAAGGTGACAGATGTCATCTTTCTTTGCGTTCCTACCCCATCCTAAAATTAGCAATGCTTGCACTCAATTTCATATCATTCTTATCTCAGCCATTTGATCAGTCCAATGAGGCTGGAATGGCTGCTTCCCTGTTTTGTATGGAGTACATATTTATTCCAAGGTTCTTGCAATGATGTGGCCTAAAAGAGTCACACATTAACAGATGCCGTTCCAACACTGGCATCCTTTCCACATCTTCTTTGTATTTGTAGCCTAAAGACAAAGGGCAATCAAGCCTTGTTTGAGTGCTGAATCTACAAACAACAAAGGAACAGGGTGATGCCACTTTATTTACAGGTTCACATGATTGTTTAAGGTCTTCTTCTAGTATATAGAAATATGCTTATATTTTAAATAATTTTATACCTACTATATTTATTTACAATATAATAATATTTAAACTTTGGTTAAATCTATTCAATTGAGCAATATATAAATCTATAGATAGCAGAAAAAGGCACTAATATTTGAAATGTATAAATGTCTAATACAAAATGTTTCATCTTAGAAAACAGTAACAGAGAAAGGCCACTTAGCAATCTACATTGAGTAAAGGCACTGGATTATTCCCTGAACTATATAAGATATGGAGTTCCACAGGACACACTGATTCTGTAAAGGAAGGAAAGTCAGTGTACCCCTGCTGTAGATTTGTATCATGCTTACAGCCATGATGTAGTAAGGAGGGTGTTGCAACATATTCTACGAGTATATTTTCTTAACCTCTTCAACATGTTTGATGTCTCATTATGAATTTACACAGAATTGTAACTTCTCCAACACTTTAAAAATCTTTGTGTATTATTTTCTTCTCTTTTTGTTATGTTCATTTTGTTATTGTTGTTTGCTTATTTTAATTACTTGGTATCACTTCATGTCAAAATTTTCCTGCCACAACTGCTCCGGTGCTCAGATTCTCGATAGATGCCACTATATTGAGCTTGTAATTGCTCAGTGTGGAACATACACGCACACAAAGTTACTATCTTAATTATTTTTGATTTTTTATTAAAAATGTTCATGTTATATATTCTGATTATAGTTTCCCCATCCCAAGCTCCTTTCAGACACTCCCCACAATCTCATCTGCCCAAACTCATATGCTTCTGTGCTCTCTCTCTCTCTCATTAGATAACAAACAGGAATCTTTTTAAATTTATTATTTATTTCAATTTATTCACTTTGTATTCCAGCTGTGGCCCCCTCTCTCATCTCCTCCCAAGCCCACCATCCCTCCCTCTTCTTTCCAACAAACAGGAATCTTAAAGAAAAAGAAAAATAATAAACTAAGATAAAACAAACAAACTTGCATAGGACAAAACAAACAAATGAACAGAAAAACAAAGAGCTAAAGAAAAAAATCACAAGAAGTGATATGGTATGTAGAAGTAGAGACACACACATTGACATGCATAGAAATATCCTAAAAATACAAAATGTGAAACCATAGTATATAAGCAAGAGAAATATATGATAAGAAAAAGATACCCAAAACATTATGCGACAAATAGATAGACAGATAGGTAGGTATATAGAAAGATAGATAGATAGATAGATAGATA